CCTATATAACTTGCAGGATTGTTAATCTAAATGCTAGGTTTTCGATATTATGTCAAAGGAATGAACCTGACCATTTGTTTAAAAGCGGTCAAACTCGACTCTCTTAACTGGAAAAGCTCTGACCGTCATCTCTCAAGCTCGATTAGATTGTTGATACTTAAATAGAATAGAATTTAAGATAACACTTCAATGATCTGGACCTACTTATGTTGTATATTCCTACTTTGAATTAATAACATACTGTATAGAGTATGTGATATAAACTATGAAATTTTGTTTCATTATTTTTCACTCATTATTTTTCGGTAGAAACCGCACTGCGTTTTACGGTTTGATTTGTAGATTGAAAAAAAAATGCTCAAATCGTATATGTGGTTTGGTTTAACACGCACTGTATTGCAAACACCCCTAACAATATGCAAGTTTCAGATGATCATAAAAACTATATACAATTTAGGATCTATGGCTAACAAAAATCAAATCGTCTTCGATCATATTTATGTTTATATTGACTGTAATAAGACAACCAATTGACCGTATATAGGAAAAGGGAAATACAAATCGAACTCGATAACTAGAAATGATAGAGACCAAAGATTTGATGAAGAAAAACGACTTGAAGAAAAATCCCCTTGTAGCCATGGAGGTTCAAATGCGATGATTCCGGACTATCTGCAAAGCAGGTGGTCGCTTTAAGATTAATCGATTTGCATAACAGGTTGAATATCCAGATTAATAAAAAAAAATGGATATATGGATAAGAGTGATGAAAGTTGATGGTTAAATTCCAAAAAGAAAATGAAATAGTTGGATAATGGTTGTTGTAGAAGTTAATTAAAACCATGTGAATTTGACTTTTCAAAGTCAAATATAGAGTCCTTGGTTTTCCCTAGGAATTTTGCTTAACCATTACCCAATCCTTCTATTGTTACTTCGATGCAGCTTGCTGTCGACTACCCCGTTCCCACATCAACTTCTCTTTTTGATGTTAGAGATTGCTTATAAAAATAATTTATTAATTTATTCTGATGTAATATCGGTAATAAACACTTTTGAGTGTTTGAATAAATAATTTATACCGGTGTCAAACCGGTAATAAGCAGTTTTTGAAAAAGTTAAACCTTTCTGACTTATAATAAGTTGTTTCAAATAAGCAATCTTAAACACCCCGTAAGTAAAAAATTATCTGTATGAATTAATATGTTTGTATAAATTGATTTTTTTTTATTTAAAAGAGTTTTTTATAGATGAAAGAACTGTGTTCTTTAAATTAGGAGGGATAAATTTGAAAAAAAAAAACTTAAAACTTCGCTCTTGATACTTACTGGATAAGCCACTTTCTATATCATCAACTTACTTTCAAATAGTCATGTATACCCAAATAAAATGTGAGTTAGGCTCATTCAGCTACTAATAAAGAGCCCCTCGGTCATATTTCACCATTCCCTTCATCTTAAAATAAATATACACATTGCTTTTTTATTTTATTTCAAAATAAATGTCTATTTTCAAAAAGTAAATATTTTTTTTCCATTTTACCCTTAATTATAATATGACAAAAATTTGTCTCTATTATAAAGGTAAATTGTTTTTTTTGTTAATTAAAAACCGTAATAATCATGTATTTCTAAATATATGCCTTTTTTCATTATGAACATTTATTTTGGTAGCAGAGGAGTATTATAACTAATTTATTTTTGTGTTTATTAGAAAAATACTATTTGGTTAGCTATGAGCTAATAGTAAGATTTAGTGATTTTCTATTTTTTTTTCAATTTTTATCCGGTTGTATTTGTAATATTTTTTTATATAATTTTTCAACATGTATTTTTAGAATCATTTTATATTGTCTCTACCTTATCAACTAGTTTTATCGAGAAACTATATTGGTTTTCCCCTAAACTAGTCATTTTATGGCAAAAAAAAAATGAAAAAAATAGCCATGAGTGCGTTGAATCCATTTTTTGTCAGTTGGTACGCCAAATCAACAGAAAAGTCAAATATATCATGTATCTTGAAATTCAAACTTTCACCAACTTTGGAGACAATGTCGAAATCCACATGTCAACACATAATTGGTTGGCAAAATCACAAATGGGTCCTAACAATGGATGAAATTCGTCAATTGATAGAATTCATGACTATTTCTTTAAAAGACTTAAAAGTAGCTATTTTTTCAAAAAACAAAATTACCATGGGGCTAGTTTGGTGGAAATTCCTTTATATATTATTGGTAATTATTGAATAACAATCGAATACTATAGGATGAGAAAATAGCTACTTTGTTATGTTGTTATCTTGCAGATCAGTCCTTTCGTTATTTTGTTGTATATTCTTCGTTTGCAATAATTAAATGTCTTTCCAAGAAAAATACAGTAGGATGAAAATTACAAACCCTATTATCTCAAAGCAATCCCAATCATAAAAATAGTTTACAACAACTGCAATACACCCAAAAGCTAACAGCTAACAAATACTATTCTGAAAATAAAGTTGTTGCTGTTATTATAATGGCTAAAAAGATCTGATATAATTTAAACAAGTCCAGTAAAAGAATTCGTGAGTCGACACACATGTTTACCTTATCTATCTATTACAAGTGTGAAAGAATTAAGAGGATTGTAGTCGGTATAGAAATAGCATTGAATGACGATTGTCTCATTCTTTAGGTACAATGTAATAAATGTAGATGAGGAGTCAAAAATCAAACATTCAAAATGAATGTAGAATGTGATTTCATACCACACAAGCATGGACTCAATCAAATTATGTTGAGAATGCAGTGAATGTTTATGAGGAGTCAAAAATCACCCTCCACCCCACATTCAAGATTGATGCAAAATGTAATTTGAGTGCCTTGATTTATATAGTCCACCATGTAAACTCACCTTAATGTAGACTTATCTAAGGGGTCGTTTACCGAACACTTATCCAGTAAGAGCTTACTGGTGAAGTTTAACACAATCATACCTCCAGCCGTTGAGTGAGCCAAGAAATGCCCTCACACATTGGTGTCCTTGTAGGCTGATTCTGTGTTGGATTGATTGGGTTGCTGATAGTTAACTTTTTATACGAATACGGATGCAACATGGCCTCTAAAAATATTGAGAGAACCCTGGAAATTTTATTCTCAAAATGGTGCACAACCTCTAAATTTACTAGCCAAGATTGAAAAGCAATAAGCATGTGAAAAGGGATTTTATATGTTATTATTGGTAACATAAATTGAACCAAAACAATTCAATATAACCATAGATCAGGTTGTATGTGAACACAAAATGGAAAATCACATAGATTTTAGGCCAAACAAGGTAAAACCTTTTATAAGAGATCAAATCTTAAACAGTAATATTAGAGTATTTTATTGATTAAAGGGCCCGTTTACCAAAAGCTCATTTGGGTAAGTGCTTACAGACTCACATTACCTTACAAGATAAATATGGCAAAGACCAAGAATCTTACTCGGTAAGATCGAGGCAAGGACTGAGGGGTTGTTCGGTTGCGGTTTGATGGGATGTATAAGCCATATGGCTTATTTCGCACAACCATATCTAACTGTTCAGTATGGGCTTATTAGGTCAACCTATGGCTGAATCGTTCAGCTACAAAAGTAGAGTCATATACACCCAGTTGGTCATTTTCCCTCAATACCCTTGGAAAAACACGTCTCTTCCTCCCTAAGTTCATTTCATCCTCCTCTAACAGACCTTGTACCTTACCTGAAATGGAATCGATTCTCACTCTCTGGAATGAAGCTTGATTCGTTGGAAGAAACTCACTGGAATGAAGCTCAATCTGCTCCTTACTCTCCTCATTTCTAGCTTATGTGCCGGATTTAACGTTTCCCTTCCAGCGCCTCCTGTGCTATCTTCGGTCTTCCAGTGATTACCATTGTCGGTGTCATCTTTTGATTTTCATAGCGTCATCTTCCTTGTTGCCATCATCGGTCTTCTTTTGATTTTCAAGCTTTCCAATGCCTCCTCAACGATTTTGAATGAGTTTGGTGAAGATTCGCTTTTGGATGTTCCTCCCTACTCATTCAAAATCTATATTGTCTCCTTCATTTGGGTGTTCTTTTATTTGATTCTTTTGATTTGATATGTATCCTTCATTTGGATGTTCTTTTATTTAGGGTTCATAGATTTGATTCATTCTATTTGATTCGTCTCTTTCATTTGGGTGTTCTTTTATTTAGGGTTCATATATTTGATGTTTTTGTTTTTTGGCATTAGGTCTGGAAAAAAAAAGGGGTAAAAAAACCCAAATTATCTCCTTCATTGGGTCTGTGGCATTAGGTCCGTGAAAAAAAATCCAAACTAGTTAGAATGGATGGACATTAAGGGATAAAATAGTCATTTATGTCATTCTAATGATTATTCAGGACAACTTTTATGTTATCATTCAGACAACTTTATCAATACAAACAACTTTATCCATTCAGGTCTTAATAGAAAACGAACCGAACAGTCCTGAGAGTCTTACCCGGTAAGTGAGTGTGACGACTCTTACCACGATTAGCGTTTACCGGATAAATTGTTGTATACAATGCCACTTTTATTGATTAAAATCTTAACCGATAAGTAAATGATAGTATTGAATTTTATCGATAAACACTTACTAAATAAGTGTTTGATAAACAACCAACAAATTTCAACCGTTAAAACATTCCTTCTATTTTTAATGATATTTTTGAAGAGTACATATTCTCACAAGTAATATGATTTTGACTTGTATTTTCATGTGATAAAAGTTGTGCATAACCTTGTCTTGATGCAGAATTGCTTCTTTCACATAAGAGCAGAGGACCCTACTTGCACCTGGCGACCTCATGTTGCGACACCTGGCCACAAAAAATGTCATTTCTCAAAACGTGTTTAGCTTTGCAACAGAAAAGCAAAAAGAAATAGAAAAAACCCTTAACATGTTTTTACTGAACTACCCCTATCAACCTCTATTTATTCCCCTTTCCTTCCTTCACATTTCATCGATAACACCCTCCTCTTACTTCCCTTGCATGTATTTCTTCTCTAAAGGTACAACCTTTATTCATTTCTTTTCAAGATTCTCACAAATCTTGGAAGTTTAAAAGGTTTAGATTTCACAACATTTGTCTATTTGGTGCAGGAAAAATGGCTCCAATTGGGGTTTTAATGGTGGGTATTCTGTCTATGGTCTCAATGGTTCAAGGCTACAATGGAGGTTGGGTGGATGCTCATGCTACCTTCTATGGAGGTGGTGATGCTTCTGGCACTATGGGTAAGAGCCAAGACATATACTTTTAAAACCCAACTCATTTCTTTACTAAAAGAAGTATTTTGTAAAGTTATAACAAGATTGAAACTTTATTGTGCAGGTGGGGCTTGTGGATATGGGAACCTATACAGTCAAGGGTATGGTACAAACACAGCAGCACTGAGTACAACACTATTCAACAATGGGAGGAGTTGTGGAGCTTGCTTTGAAATTAAGTGTGCAGGAGAGCCAAAATGGTGCCATCCTGGTTCTATAGTGGTCACTGCTACTAATTTCTGTCCTCCAAACAATGCCTTACCAAATAACGCAGGAGGCTGGTGTAACCCTCCCCTACAACACTTTGATCTCTCTCAACCTGTTTTTCAGCAAATCGCTCAATACAGAGCTGGAATTGTTCCTGTTCATTACAGGAGGTAATACCATGTAAATCAATCGCTTATTTCATTACAATTACATGCAAGAATATGGAAATTCAAATGAGAAAGTTTGAAGCTTTTCGAACAATGTTGTCAATTTTCCTTATTTGCGTTCACAAATACTGAAATTTCTATAATAAGAGGAATTTCTTTTAAAGCAATCCTGTGGGTTCTTTTACTTGGTATTACACAAAAAAGGTAAACACTCTTGCCATCTTAGTATAGTGGTACAAAAGGTCTTTTAAAGCAATATTGTGGGTACTTCTACAAGGTATTACACAAAAAGGCACAAGCTTTCTTAAGCCATGTTCTGAAATTCCTTCTAGTTATGTCCAGAAATATAGAAATTCATATCAGAAAAAGAACAATTCTTTAATGGGTAGCAAAATATCCTGACAGTTGATAAAATCTTTAAAGTAAAACTTGTGGGTGTTGTTCACAGGGTACCTTGTAAGAAGAAAGGAGGAATCAGATTCACAGTGAATGGACACTCATACTTCAACTTGGTGCTGATAACAAACGTAGGAGGAGCAGGGGATGTAACCGCCGTTGCCATCAAAGGTTCAAAGACTGGATGGGTACCCATGTCGAGGAATTGGGGCCAGAACTGGCAGAGCAACTCAAATCTTGATGGGCAAGCTTTATCTTTCAAGGTAACCACCAGTGATGGCCGCACAGTCGTCTGCAACAACGCAGTTCCCGCCGGTTGGTCCTTCGGCCAGACATTTACCGGTGGACAGTTCACATAGGAATTTCATCAAACAGATGGCACCCACAAAAAAGGGCTCGTATTAGAGAGGCTCTTTTATCATCCTTTTCGTAGTTGTATTGTATGTGCTTTAGAATAGGGTCGTGTGAAGTGTTATTATTACCTTTCTCTTCTATTGTTTTTGGGTGGAGGAGAGAGGTAGAATGCGGTGGCGCTGGTGGTTAAAAAAAGCACCGGCCAAGCGCTTGCATCGTCTTTTGCAAAAAAGAAACAGCTTTTTAGCAATAGCAGGTGATGAGTGTCAGACACACCGCTTGTTTCGTGTTGTTTGTCTGTGTAGCTCCATAATCAATGATGTTTACAGTTGCAATCTATCTGGGTCTGTTTTGATGTGAAATCTCAGTTTGGCCACGTATCCTGCCTTCTTGTCTATTTATGCCATAATCACTACAATTTACCCATTCATATGATGATGATGATGGAAATGGAAATTAGATTCAAACATCATGGTTTTGATTATGGCCTCTCGCCTGTCAACGCAGTGTTTTTGGAAAACGATTGTATTGAGGTTGTTATCTGTTACATATGACACACGAACAAATCATACAGGAAGTTTATTGCTTTATTTTTGAATTGCTACATTGTGTCATCAACCCAATTCATGCATTATTGGGTTGTGTACGATGAGAAAAAGAAGTCATAGTGAGAAAGCTTAAGAAAGATCTACACTTTTTAAGCGATCCTAACTGAATTCCAAGACTAATAAAGTGCACCGAGATCACTAGATCAATTCCTTTCTAAAACATAATTTATGGATGAACATGAGATTAAAAATGATCAAAAATTCATATATCTTTTCATGTTTCTCGGCATAACTTCTCTTTCTCATTCATTCGTTAGTATATGATAATGGGTTTTGACATTTGCACATGTACAATTAGTAAATTTTCTTCTAATCATCCCAATAAAAAATGCTTGGATATTTGCTTTGTATAAAATTTCTCATTTTGGATCCTAGCTAGAGGTGAGTATCAAGTCAATTACTAAAAAGTATGGATTAAGGACCGTGCGGTCGGGCAAATGTTAGTATACAGTCCGTTTTTATAGGAAAGCACAAACATACCTAAACACAACATCAATATTGATTTCAATCCTAAAAATATCTAAGCTTACCGGATAAGTGTTTGGTAGACGATTCTTTAGTGAGTCAAACAAAGTTTGGTTAGATCATGAATTATTAAGTGGTCCCTCTCTCTAGACTCCGGAGTCCAGAGCAAAACTATCATAATTGGGCCTAGTTATAGCTCGGTTAGGCCCAAGACTAATTAAGGGTCGGATAAAGTCTAATTCAATGTTATGTTAATTTTTGTGTTTGTAATACCTTTTCCTATTTTATTTATTTATTAAACTATATTTTCCATACAATGGTAACTATAATTTTGAATTTTGAAGTTCTAAATCAAACTTATTTGGGTCGATTTTAAGAAATGTTTGTTATAAAACTTTAAAATTTTTTAATTGCTACATTAATAATTCATTTTTTTTTCTTCTGAAGTTGCTTGTAAGTTAATTATTTAAAAGCTGTCATTCTTGTGGGTTGTTTATTACATTGACGGTCAAGTAGTTTGTAAATCCTTATCGATTTGGTCTCCATGGTTTGCATTTTCATTATGGATATAATCACTTAACACAATTAAGTTAACAGGGCTCGTTAACTTAAACCCATTTTGTTTTTTTTTTGTCTTTTCTTTAATTTTTTACTAAAAAAATTAAAAAATATATCATATATTATTTTACCCTACTCAGCTTCCCCCCTTCTTCCTAGACCTACTAGTCGAGTCAAGAAAAGCTTCAAACTTCAATTTCTCTTCTACCTCTCGTAATTCTTTAACTAGATTTAAAAGCCCATAGCAAAATCAAATCAAAATCAAAACGACCCAATCCATATGTCGAACCAAAATTGAAAAGATATTAAACCCTACCATCATCAAATCAAAAACAAATTAGACCCTGTATCATATAAAGTCGAACCTAAACACCAATGGTAACCCCCTTTTCTTTTTCAACAACTTTTATCTTATTGGAAATCCCTCAATTGTATATGAGTATTCTGGGTTGGGCTTCTCCTAAACGTGAAGTTGTCAATGTGGAGAAGTCGCTGAAGGGGAAAGTGGGGGTGGTGGTGGGGGACTTATTATCTAGATGAACATAACCATTAAAGATAAAACTCAAGCTCCAAAAATGACGAAACTGAACATTCACTTCACCAACTCCTTAGAGGAACCCATTCAATCATGAGGAAAATCATTCACGCCATTTACTTATCAGGAAAGAAGGATCACGAGGAACCTATTCCAGACTGCACAAACATGAAAAAACACATCCAAAAGGGGTTTGTGTACGTGATGTGTGTGTAAGGGGAGGAAGGCGAAGATGGAGGTAACATGAGATGGGGGGTTGTTGTTGGAGATGGGGGTGGTGTTACCTTTGGAGATGGGGGTTTGTATTTAAAAGAATATGAGGAAAAATGGAAATACCTCTCATTTAACGACATTGTTAACGGAGTAAGGTTCACTGACTAAATCCTTAAGTATTTGCAAACCGTTGGGACGACTAATGTAATAAGCAAACAACAAAAATGATATCCATAGTTATAGCAGACCACAAGAACCAAAACTGTAGTTTACTCGAACAAATAAGAAAAAAAGGGTTACCGTATGATTATTGGGTTGAAATTAATTCCAAATTCGGATGGTCCGAGGGCTTGGGCCTTGCAGCAAAGCCTAATGTCGTTGAGGCCTTATTTAAAAGTCAAGACAAAGAATCAACTTGGATACTTTTGTTGATAATCTATTATATTTAAATTCACGCAAAAACTTGATTATTGATAACTTATGGAATCCGCTTTTAAGGATACCAATGTAAGAGGACATTTTTTAGTTCACTCAATAGTTAAGGCTAGCCTGCCAAAGGGGATACTACCCACTTGTATTGAGACAAAGTCGTCTAAACCCTTTATGAATTGATGTCAAAAGCATATTTGAGTTTTATTGATAAATATTCTTTATGAATCATATCTTGATCAACCCACAATAAAATTAATCCAAACGAGGGAATTATAATTTTGATGGATCCATAAATAGACACAAATTATGTGTTTATATTCCTGATATAAACATATCAGAAAGGTTTAACTTCTTCAAAAACTCCTTATTACCGGTTTAACACCGGTACAAGTTGTTTATCCAAACATTCAAAAGTGCTTATTACCGGTGTTACACCGGAATAAGTCAATAAATTGTTTTCATAAGCAATCCTAAACATTTATTTTTTGAAAGAAAGTATTTTATATATAATTGAAAACCGCTTTGTCTTGAAACTAATTGTATTCAAGAAAAATGAGTGAACAAGGCAAGGGCCCTTCTTGTACCCAACAGGAAGACTGCAATAGATTTGTAGATATGGCATCAAAGATAAGGATAAGCCCCATCGCTTTTCATTGGCCAATCTACAATCAAACCCCAAATCACAGCCGTCCGATCCCCAAAATATACCAGACCCAACGACAACCACAAGAATACCACTCAAATCACTCCTACAAAAGGATACTTAAACATCACAGATCTTCAACCCAACTCAACAACCACTACAAACCCACCTTCTTTCTATCCCGCCGGAAAATATGGCCACCGTCACACAAGCCTCGGTTGCAGTTTTCCGGCCCTCCACCTTCCTTTCCGGCTCACCGGGAAAATTAAACCGAGCATTGGCCGTCAAACCTGCCACCTCTTCATCTGTCTCATTCAAGATTGAAGCAAAGAAAGGCGAATGGCTACCTGGGTTACCTTCACCTGTTTATCTCAATGGAAGGTAAACCATTAAAAAGAAAGACGATTCATTTCATAAGTTATAATTTGGGTACTAACCAAATTCTGGAAAATTCAGTCTTGCAGGTGATAATGGATTTGATCCACTAGCACTGGCGGAGGATCCCGAGAGCTTAAAGTGGTTTGTACAAGCTGAACTCGTGAACGGACGGTGGGCTATGTTGGGTGTCGCCGGAATGTTATTGCCGGAGGTTTTCACAAGCCTAGGGTTTATCGATGTCCCAAAGTGGTACGACGCCGGAAAGTCGCAATACTTTGCATCATCATCCACTTTGCTTGTCATCGAATTCATCCTGTTCCATTACGTAGAGATCCGAAGGTGGCAAGATATCAAGAATCCAGGAAGTGTTAATCAAGATCCCATCTTTAAAAGCTACAGTCTGCCTCCTAATGAAGTTGGGTACCCAGGTGGCATCTTCAATCCCCTAAATTTTGCACCCACACCTGAGGCTAAGGAGAAAGAGATTGCCAATGGTATAAAGACATCTTAATTACCCATTTTAAACTAATTATTCATAATTGGATTGTATAATAACACTATATATGTCTTAATAATTGCAGGTAGATTGGCAATGTTGGCGTTCTTGGGGTTCATCGTTCAGCACAATGTGACCGGAAAAGGGCCGTTCGATAACCTGGTGCAGCACTTGTCGGACCCGTGGCACAACACCATCGTTCAAACGCTTTCTGGGAACTAAAGATCTTAATTGCAGCCAAAAGTTGGAAAAAGATGAATCTTGTTCTGTTTGTAAACCTTGAGTGTGCATGGATTGTGACTTTTAGATCTCAGCTTGTGTCTGTAAACAAGAAGTTTTTGAATGTACAGGGAAAAACGAGATGGATATTCGTGGTTTCATTTTAACTTATTGTTTTGTCGATATCAAGTCGATTATTTGATTCGAGTCAAGAAAAAAATTACAATTACAGGCGTTATATAATTTAATTAATATGTTTTATTGTATGATTTATATGACTAAATATTTAGAAAATACATATGTATGAGGAATGCAAGGGTTGTTGAAACCTTGATGGTGCACCATGGCAAAGTCAGGTTGATTCAACACGGCTATTTCAACTCTCGGGAACCCATGAAGGCTGCAAGCAAGCAGGGTCACCCATTAGTATTTGAACGAGTATTTTGGGAATTTCTATGTTGAAAACTTAGAAGACTACACCTATTTATGAAGGAAACTTAGGGGGTGTTTAGTTAATGGAATTTGGTGGAATTGGAAGGAATTAGAATGTTTAAATCTTTGATCAAATTCCAAATACCATGTTTGGTTCACATAATAGATGTGAAAGAATCCTTCTAATTCCAACAAATTCCTTAAGTCACCAATTTCACAATTCCACCGCATATACCACGTATTTCAAATTTCAATCCGACAAATTCCTTAGCCTTCATCCAAATTCATCGACGCTGTATCTCGATTTGCTCTGCTCTACTATGTTCGATCTCCTTTGCTCGATCTCGTTTAAAACTAGGAATGACAACGGGCCGGTTATTGGTATCCCCGTCCCCGAAACCGATAACTAAAACCGTCCTCGTGACCGCCTCGATCCCCGTGAGGATCTTATCGGGGATCCCCATCGGGTCCCCTCGGTTCCCCGATCCTCATTGGGGAATCCGTTAAGGTAAAAATTCTCTTTTTCTTGTTCACCGTTGGTTATAATCGAAATCCGAAACAAATCTAAAAAAATTACAATATGTTAATTTTCACAACTAAAATGAAATTACAATTTTTCTAAAGATGCAAGTTTAAATGTTTCAAACATAATCGAACCAATTACAAACAATGTATTAGATTACAATATAAAACTAAACAGAACTTCAAACATCATACAACTAAAATCACGATTTCACAATTAGACAAATAAACTAGACTTTTCGTGAGCCTTATTTGGATTGTTGAAGTAAAGTGGATGAAATTTTTTTAAATTTTAATGTTACTATTTTCTTTTAATGATATATATATATATATATATATATATATAAACCGTGCATTTCTAAGAAACCGTGTAACCTAATTTCGACTAATAGAAATTTTTTATTTTTTCTAATTAAATTTAATCAATAAGGGTATTTCGGTCATTTACAATATTTTCTAATTAAATATGGAAATTATTAATAAATCTTAAGGAAATTTTATAAATGGTAATATTTAAATATTTAATTATATTGTAATATTAAAAATTTGAACTAAATATATTTTGATGCGATTGAATCTGTTGGTGAATCTTGAAAATTGTAAGGCACAATGTAATGAATTCATCAAATCATGATTGAAAAAACTTGTTTATTACAAATGAAACAAGTTTCATGAAGGTGAAATTGGTTCATGTCGTAATTGAACAATGAGTAGTGATACATTTTCATGGTGAACCCGTTTCATTGATGGTGTAGTTGATCCATTTAGTAGGTGAAGTGAAAAATGAAATGAGTGCATAATGTATTTGGTTCATCATGAAATAATTGCATGATGAAACGGGTACATGATGAATCTGTTCCAGAATCTTGAAGATTGTAATCTGTTCAAGAATCTTGAAGATTGTAAGGCTTAAAAGAATGAATTCATCAAATCAGGGGTGAAATAAGAAAATTAATATACATGAAATATGTTTCATGAAGATGAAACTGGTTCATGGCGTAATTAAACCATGAGTAGTGAAACGGGTGCATAATATATTTGGTTCGTCATGAAATAATTGCATGATGAAACGGATACATGATGAATATGCTCGAGAATCTTGAAGATTGTAATCTGCTCCAGAATCTTTAATATATTGAAGATCGATGTTTTTTAGTAACGAAATGAATAAAAATAACATACCTCCATTATTGCCGACCATTTTTCTTCAATATACTGAAGATCGATGTTTTTTAGTAACACTATATTCGAAAAGGAAGAATGGAATACGTTCACCTGATTCTCAGGAATGTGTGCGATGAAGACGAGATTCAATCGGACAAAGATCGATTAGGATATTACAGAATATGTATTTTTGTTTACCATTTTGCCCTTATTGCTGATATAAAAATAAATTTTTTAATATTTTTTTTCTTAATTTCCTAAAATAAACTAAACTAATCTTGACCATTGATCAAGAAAATGGATGGATGAGATTGATTTACAAGGTTTACACAAATGATGGTGGTTTTCATTTGAACGCTCCTCTATATGTATGTATATAAATCAAAATTAATATATATACACATATCAAGCCGGGTCGGGCCAAGCCGATGATCACCGTCCCCGCCCCCGTTAAAATCCCCGAATTTGTCCCCGATCCCCGCCCCGTTCCCGATAAGATGTCCCCGAACCCGGCCCGAGAGTTTCGATTTTCGGTTTTCACTATCGGTTTCGGTTTTTTTGCCATCCTTATTCAAAACTGCTCGATCTCATTCACTCTGCTCGATCTGGTATGCTCGACCTCTCTCTCTCTCTGTCTGTCTGTCTGTCTGTCTGTCTCGTTCTTTCCATCCTAAAAAGGATTTTCTCGAAATGCCATATATGTAATTTTCCCGTTGAATTTCGTGAACGAAACAAAAAAATTCCAATTCCGTTAAAAATTTCATTCCAATTCCATTTAACCAAACGCAATCAAAAGACATAGTCAAATTCCATCAAATTTCATTCCATTCCCTCAATTAAATTCATTTGATGAATTTCAATTCCATGAAATTCCATTTTACGAACCAAATTCCTCCTTGGAAGTAACTCTAATCACCAACCTAACTTTGATTAACAATAACAACTTCTACCAAATACAAACGGTCTAAACAAAAAGACAATTGTATCCTTTTCAGAACAAATATTCTTTAAGTGTCATCTCGACTCGAGCTTGGTGGAAGGTAAGGGCTTGGTAAAAATGTCAGCCAACTGGTAAGCAGACTCAATTGGTAGTAACCGACACCGACCCAATTTAGCAAGAACCTTTTCCCTGATGAAATGGCAATCAATATCAATATGTTTGGTCCGCTCGTGAAAAATGGGATTAGAAGCAATCTTTGGGGTTGGCTTGTTATAATAGAACACTGAAATAGACTTTGGGTGTTGGACATTCAGGTCCTTTAGCAGGTAATGTAGCCAGACCAACTCAACCATGGCGCAATACTCAACTTCAGTTCTTTGAACATGAAGATGGTTGGGGATCGACATTTCATTCATAGATGGAGATGGAGTATTAGGCGGTGGTTCAACCTAGGGAGAAGATTGTGGTGAAGCCACGGTGTCATCAAATATCAACAATTGGTTATGGAAGAACCACCATTGAGAAGGGATCGGAGGACTGTTCAGACAGTCCATCCAAAACAACAAAGGGAACGTATCTTCTCGAAATACTACATCCCGCGAGCGAGACAAAAAATTGTCTCGACTCCAAGTCATATAACGTGTATGCTTTCATTCCGATGAATACACACGCCTCTGCTCGAGGACGATATTTTAACCGTGCCTTTGGGGATGTAGAAGCGCAAAGGCGAGACATCGAAAAGTACGTGGTAACAAATAGTTAGGGGCTGTAGCGTATATTTTCTGATATGCAACCAATAAAGACATTTGAAGGTGTACTTTTAATCAAATGAAAGAACACATTCAGACCAGAATCATGTTTGCTGCTGTTTGCAAGTTGGAGTGTAAACGATACGAGACAGTTCGGGTATTACTCGAGATTGACTCGTTCAAAGCTCGATCTACACTCGACTCGAATAGGCTCGACTTGAGCTCGAGCTCCACTCGATATATTAATGATTCGAGTCGAGCTACCTAATACTTGACTCGAAAGCTCATGAGATGCTCGATTTATATATATAATTAGTTTTACAGTATAACTTGTAAAATATAATGTAAAAAGCTTATTATTGAACTTATCAATGAAAAGAAAAATGTCATATCAACCAAACCGAACCCATGTATACCCTAGTTGCGTGCTTTAAATAAGCTCTAGCGTAGAGCGATGGATTCATATGTATAACTAAAATTCCACACTATGCGCTTTTCTTTGTAGCAAAAAAATGATAGAAATACATATATACATAAACGTTATGACACAATTATTTATTCGAACAAGCGGGTGTAAGTTTGACAAAGAAACTACGGAATACAAGATTTCAAGATTCGCAAAAGCCATCTTCCATGACCTTCAAAAATTCTTGGAAACTAATCTTACCATCTTTGTCAACATCATACCGACCAATCATCCTTCCGCAATCGCTTTCAGATACTCGTAAAAAACCCATACCAGAAAGCACATTTTGCAACTCTTTTACGTCTATGTACCCATCATTGTTTTTGTCAAACAAACAAAACGCTTCTTTCACTTCATCTAAACTCGGCTCATCCTCAACGAACAAATCCACCATCTCCTCCAACCCAAGACTCTCCCTTTGATCATCGGGATCCCAAAACGTCCCTAGTCTTTCCATCACAATCTTCGGATTCACTCCCAACGCCTTCTTCTTACCCGGACCATTCTCAACACAACAAGGCTCCGTGACATGGACTCGTTCACGTGGTTGAGCCGCTACACAAGCCGTGGTTCGTGTGGCGAAGATGAACAAGAAAACAGGACGAACGAACAGCGAATACAAGTCATGTAATGAGATTAACCATTCTACAAATATAACAGATAATAAGAAATAATTGAAGACCATGATCGGTTCCTGTGTTAGTGCAATCTCGTCCCTCATATTACCTGAAACTGAAGAGAGAGTTTATTCCGGATTTGTTAGTATGCATGGAAAATAAACTCAAGAATCGTTTGGTTTTTGTAGATGAGTTTGGAAATTAATTCCGCAATTGTGGTTTAATTTCTACGAAAGTTGAAGGAAAGCGACCCTTTTCTTGGATTCTATTCCAAGTGAACTTCCTCGAAATATCGTTCACCATTAAATAATAAAGGAATGGTGTCTGTATGTGTGTCCATACATAGAGTCCTAAAGTCCCAATTGACGATTTCTTTGCTTCCGTTATTGGTCGGTAATAATTATATATATTTACATTTAATAAATAAAAATCCCTTTGTGATCACGGAAGTTTAAATTCGGTGATTCCAGGCTATCTGCAAAATAGATAGTTGTCCTATGATCGCATAACGAATTAGATATCTAGGTTAATAAAAAACAATTTTTATTTATTTTGAATATTAGGAGATATATTTTGCTTGGTAGATACGTTACGAAATTAAAGAGAGAAAACTAGTCTATAGACGACATGCATTAGATATGTACGGTACAAGCTTTTTATGCGGTCCGACAAAAAGAAAAGAACAAGTCAAACCACCACCGGCCACACTAGGGCACGAAACTGCAAGGCAAAGACGATGAATCCAAGAGGCAAGGGTAAGCGGAGAAGCAGTTCATCGTCTCCGACCAGAAACCACCGGAGGACCACCACCTCATCCGGAGTGCCACTAATAACGCCCTCCGCCACTCTTCTCGACACAGAATTAGTCACTGAAGACGACGACCTTGCTTACTTTCGTGACCTAACTATCTCTCCACCTGACAAATTCTCAAACCCTAGGAGTTTCCCGTACAGTGTGAAGCAGCAATGCTGGGAGAAAGCGGAGAAAATCAAAGGAAGGGATCCAGATCGATGGCGTCGAGACCCGCTTGGCAACACAATCTTTCGTAAGCTCGTTGGTTGTCCTGGTTGTCTCTGCCATGACTACGATCACATTGTTCCATACTCTAAGGTAAATTATTATTACAAAATAGATTCAATTGGTAACTTGAACGTCCAAGATTATTGTGTGAACTCATGAAATAAATTGCATTACCTGGAATGGATAATAATTTCCTTTTTCACATTCTTAGGATTATAATATCATTTCTGTGAATTTGAAAGTAGAAATGTCTTTTAAGTTGTTAAACGAATAAAGTCAGCTGTTTTTTTTGCATTTCTCTCAAGACCGAATAGAACTTGTTTGACTATACTAATCTATTAGGGAGAGTCACAAATTGGAGCGGAAAAATGAGTAAATTCCAATGCCATTCGCTTCTTTACAAACCACTTATTTATAACTGACTAACCAGCTAACGACTAACTACTTACCAATTGATCAACCAACCTGCTGTCTATTAGTTAAATACATGTGACGACCAAAATATCCTTCTTATACGCTTTATACCGGTTAACACTCCCCCTCAAGTTGACCATGGACTCTGGAGAATATATGTTCTTCAGGGCCATCTTGGACATAAGTGGTAAAAGCATAGAAGATGACAAAGGTTTAGTAACCATGTCACCAAGCTGGAACCTAGATCGAATGGGCATTAGCTTGATTTACTTGTCAAGCACTATTTCTTGAATGAAATGGCTGTCAAATTGATGTGCTTCTTTCGTTCATGGAACGTTGGATTTGATGCAAACTGACCTATTATCACAAAATATTAGAGCCCAAGTGGTTTGATGAATATCAAAGTCCGTCAATAGTTGTTGCTATCAAGAGTCGTGCATCTTCAAGAAGTTGAAGATTCAAGAATATAATGACGTTGGGAAACAAACAATTTCAGCCTTGGATCTCGCAATTTCCGCCTTGGATCTCGCAATTTCCAATCCATAGAAATATCATAGTGATATGAAATATTTCATCTTGAACTGGTTAAGGGAGGGGATTGCTGTAGAAGACGAGTCTGTGATGATAATATCACCAACGTATACCAAGATTGCAACATAATCTCAATTAACACTCTTATAGAATAAGGAGTAATCCCCGCAACAATCATGGATTAAGAAAATTTGGCATACCACTGTCTTGAACCTTGTCGCAATCCATAGAAGGACTTGTAAAATTTGCAAACCAGCTTGGTTGATTTGAGATTGACTCTCCGTTTAAGTTGAGATCCAAGAGGAATTTCCATTTAGAAAGCCATCATTTACATCTAATTGTATTAAATTCCATGAATCGGCAGCAGCTATAGCAAGCAACATCTAGACAGTGGCTAGCTAAGCTACTCGTGAGTATGTATCCAAAGATAATCCCTTCTTGCTGTTCGAACGAAACATGTTAATCCTCCTATCAAATTGAGTGTGCACCATATCGTAGAACCTGCAAACTACACTTCTTTTTTATCAAATACGGCCAAGTAAACCCGTTGTCATCCTCTACTATGGTCACAAGATGTTCATATAGTTGATGATTGGATGCTTGATATGACCTCCTAATATTACATTGAATTAAAAAAATAGTTCGTTGTACATATTATTCATAGAAGCAAACAACAAGTGTTTTTGTTTAGCTAATGGTTATATTGAACAAGGAGCACTGGACTTAGCAGAAGAATCCTTGAGGTAAAACTGAGATATGACTGCTGCTAAACGTTTATTGGATGGGTGACTAAATCTTTTATGCCAAACATCCATAGAAGCCAGATTGATTGCTGCTAAACACATCTTGATAGTTCTTTAACCTTGTTACTTGTTAGCCTTGCCAATCATCCTCCTGTTCTTCACATCCTGAATCAAAGCATGATCAAAATAAAATACAACCATAAACTCTCCTATAAAGGTAAGAGCACCAACCATGCAAAAAGGACAGTCTCTTCCGGTAATTAAGTTGTTCGTGTTCAGATTTATTTGACTTCTCTTCATTCCATCGAACGCAGGCCAACGTTAGCAACATTCCTCTGATTCTCTTCCTGCATAACTAAAGAAAACACTCCATTAATTGGTGGAATAGGATCCATCAATTATATTTGACAATGAATATGGGCGAAGGATTCGTGCAGCACCTTTAAGAAGTTCATGACATATTCCATTTCAACGTATTTATTGATCTCGTTGACACCTCCACATTCATACTTTCCACAAGAACAGTGAGGATAGAAGTGCGATAGTTTGCAATATACGCCTATGAGGTCCATCCGCATCTCAAGCTGTCTGTGAACAGAGAAGCACTTAGAGTGAAGGAATCTGGCGCAATAGCTCCGATACCATATTACTGTAGAATCACAAATTGGAGCTGAAAAATGAGTAAATCTCGGATATCACTCACTTTCTTACAATCACGTATTTATAAGTGGCTTAGCAGCTTTCTAACTGATTGACCAACTAATTGTCAATTAGTTAAATACGTGTTATGACCAAATATCCTTCTTATACTCTAAAAGAATCTATACAATAAATCTGAACAGAAGTGTGTCATCTTTTTCTTTTGACCCCTTGGAGTTTATATATGGACATGTCAACATAAATGAATTGGTTGCTGACTTGCTGCAATATTTATTAGGTTAACAAAGAGTTCTTTGATTTACTTATGTTTTTCTAAGTTTTTGGGATAATCATGTGCAATTGTTTGTTTGCTTGAGGAGGTGTTGCTCTTATGAACTTTGAGCTAATGGTGTCTTTCGGCCTTCCACTTATGCAAGCCAAGAATACAAAATAATTCAAGTATAATCTTGACTCCAAGATTCATGTGGAATTTGGAAATCACCTAAAATAAGAGCAATGATAAAGAAATAGTGTAGTCGTCTCGTGGTTTTCCTCTTGTTTATGGGTTTTGCACAATGCACATTAAATATCGGTTATAAGCTCTGCTAGTCTTACGACCTCATGTGTCTAATCTTGTTAATGTTGCAGGGGGGCAAAAGCACTTTGGAAAATTGTCAGGTTTTACAGGTAACATGACATCTTAATCCGTTATAGTTATTACTAAAATTGCAGCTTCAGAATATGCCTGTTTTGATACATGAGCTTCGTTTTTCTTGGTTAAATAACCTTTGTGTTATTGCTGGCGGCCTGGCGTGGATAAGGCATAGCAGCATTCAACCTTGTTAACGCTCACTCTTATTTCTAGTAACCTAAGACAACCTTCAAGTATGGTGCTTGTTGCTTTCTTACTTTACCATTTTGAAGATCGCATAAGACACTGTGAATCCTAATTTTTATCAAGATACATGTTTAAGATCATGGAAGATGACTTTTTACTATCCCTTATCTTTACTAGATCCTTCTTTTACGATCAGTATAATTCAATCTTCAACACGAATAAGCATGTTGTCTGTCCTGTAAGACTTATGGGGCCATGGTGCGTTTCTTTGTAGGCAACAGTTAATCGATCCAAGGGGAACCGTACCGAGATGTCTAGAGCTGATCTTATTCAGAAAAGTTCTTACTGCCGGGTTTCAGGTACATTATTAGAGCAAAACATTCTTGTGATCTGATGGGAATGAATTTACCACCAATGGGAAAGGTAAGAAAATTGACATTCTCACATTCATTATGACAAAACTGCAGGGCGTGACATGGATCTTCTTGAACTGTCAGCGTATGGCAACGTACGCAGAGGGCAAGATTCTGGAGGATGTAGCATGCAATGATTAGGTATCAAAGTATGTTCCAATTATGTTAGCAAAGTTATTGTATAGGATAGTGAAAGTACATTTGACATTGTTCCATTTTTACCCGTCAAGCCTACAACTTGAGTTCTATGAAGTTTTGATTTTTGATTGATTTGATGGTGACATATTCAGGGTTCAGAGTAGCAACAAAAATATTTTTGCTTTCTTGGTTTTTTTGTTTCTTAGGAGAAACATAATGCTTAAAGATGGTGGACTTGGTAGAGGTTCTTACCCTGAGCCCTGAGGTGAATGTAGATGAACCAATTCCTTCTCACTAGGGACAATTTGGGAAGGCATATACAAGAAGAGAGAACCAAGGGGTTTCTTGTTTGTAAAACATTTATTGGACTTGGAACCTGATTTGGACAGGCATATGACTGTTAGGGCGATAAATTCTAGTCTATCTTATCCTTATATGTGTGGGTTCCTGTTACAAAGGAACAAAACTACATTGGATTTCATACACTATTATAAGAATCATAGCAACCATGGATGTGGGAAAATTGCTAAACTGCAGAGATAAGGGGTCTTTGATTTGTTGTTTCTGTGATCATTACTGTGTGTGTATGATGGGCAATCCTAACAAATTTTTATGATTTAGTGCACGCACTAGTAATTTCTTGACATTTTGTTTATCTGAACCTCCCCACTTTGATGGAAATACCTAACAGAAGCACTAAGCATTAGAAATTAATCACAAGTGGGAGCTTGACTTTTGTAGTTCTAGTGGTCGACCATTTGACTACTGCGACCTGAGTAATGCCACTGACTATTGACCTTATTGTTGTTGTATGGTACAACTTTCAGTATACACACAGATCATTCCATGAACTTGTGCCTACAACTACTTTATACACATTTAGATTCGTCAGTAAGATGCTATTCTTATCTTAAATGTTCTAGGCAATGTAAAGCATCAAATATACAGTACAAATGGATATAGGATTATAGAATTGCTAGGTTTGTAATAATATAAAGCTTTTAAGAGATACGTTCTATAAAGATGGCATTCTTTTCTCATTTATTATACTACTACTTGATATGGACCTCGAGAAGAAGCCATGGACTTGCTTTTCCAATTGACTTGCATATCCACATGATAATATGTATAGTAGGGTATATTGTGAGATAATTTCACAAATGAGTGGCCTGGATCGATTGGTCTATTGCTCAAGTTGAAGAAAACTCCAAACTGAAGCAAACTTTACTTTCCTGTAATTCGACAAGAACGTATCCAAGATTTGTGAGCTGTTGATTCGGTTTTATAGACCATCCAAAACTGTCATATTATAAATATTACCCATATAAACAAATTTGGGCCACTGTAGTTCCACCACTGCTTTATAGAAAGGAAGAAAGCAAAAGGTAGCAAATACCCATTACAAAAGATATAGATATATGGCATTTTGGGTCCACAATACAACTCATGTTACTCACATATTGTGGCTTCAATTTGCTGAGGACCTGAAAATATCTTGATCTTTTACTTGGCTAGTTCTTCTGGTACACATATTTTTCTTCTGATTTTGATGTGCCCACCCAGAGTAATCAAGATTTACACATCTGAGTAGATATAAAGATATAGTGAGAGGTACTCAAAAGTAATGGCTGTGTGCATTAGCTGGTTGTACCGTACTGCACAGTGATTCATTATGTTTTATTTTTAGTTAATGCTACCATAGTTGCTATATGCCCACTTTATGTAAAGTTGAGTTTAAGAGTCGCTTGCGAATATGCACCCTGTCTTTTGGTTGTACATTAGAACTTGTAGATCAGTATATCAGATGCATACCGAAAGATAAGAACTTTACACATTCAGGCATCTGTCAAGTATTCAAATTCTAATTGGATTTGCTTACTGAAAGAGAAGAACTAAGTTCATTACTGTTATTCTTTACACCTCAAAAAGTTGGATTAGCAACCATTTTTTAGGAAATATTTGCAGAAAGTTTACAAAAATCTGAACATCTAAAACTATACAAAAGAAACCCTGTCCCTCCTATTTGTTGGTATTTCTTACATAGTATTCACACCAAATCACAGTGCCATCATGTTTAAACATTCTAGGTCCTTTCTTGAAAGCAAAGTGACCTAGAGAAAGCGGCAGTAACAGCGGAATTGTTTTTCTTGCCTGACGTTTCTTTCTTGGAAGGCCTTAAACATATCTCTGCTGCTGTTGGTTTTTTTCTTGCATTATATTCACACCAAATTGCAGTGCCATCTAATCTTTTAGATCTTTAGGCCCTTTCTTGAAAGCAAAGTGACCTAGAGAAAGCAGCAGGATTCGCCTGTAATACCGGAGAAGGTTCTGTGGTTGGGTGCTTCTTCTTTTCATCTCCTTTTGCTTGGAAGGCCTTAAAGAGATCTCCTCTGCTGTTATTTTCTTTCTTGATTCCGAGTGTTGCCCATATAGAACTCTTTGCAGCTTCATCTGGATCATCTATTCTCAGGGTCTTGGGAATCAGAACCGAGTTCTTATGTCTCTTTGGTTCCTCATTTGGTTTGGTCTCTTCCCTATCTGTTGAATGTTTTCCTAAGATGGAAAAGTTTGTGGCAGAGGTGGCTGGATGTAACCAAGGAACAGAATTCCAATAAGGTGAAGGGTAGATCGGCATTGGAGGGTATCCTGGAGGGCAAATTGCTGGAATCGGCAACGGAATTGCTGTGTTCCATGGATTATAGGACCATGAAGCCCCTGGAATCCAATGAACTTGAGAATGGAAACCAGGGTTGTCCTGGATTTTCTCAACCAAGGAATTGGAAGTTATCACAGTGGATCCACTGGAGCAATCGTCTCCGTTTTCTCTAACTCTAGCCGAAGCTACACTTAAATTGGCTCCAGCATGTGGTGTATTTGGACTGAAGGAAAGGACTTTAGGTGGATGAACAGTGTTGTGAACTCCATCAGAATCAGCAGCAAATTCAATCTGAGGCGCTGCTGCTGATGATCCGAAAGCTTCTTGGGAGATGATGAAACGACAATGCGATGGTGGGTTCTTTTTCTTCCGGCGACCTGCTCCGACCGGCATGTTCCTCATGGTGCCTCCTGCAGTCCAGTACCTCTGGCAGCTCTTGCAAAAATGGCGAGGCTGGTTGATGTTGGAATTGTTGTAGTAACAAAACTTGGTGTTCATGCTGTCACAACGAGGGCAAGGGAGAATCTTATCGGGTTTTTTCAGAGTCTTAGGTTGCGAATTTGCTGTATCTCCTTCCGTTCCGGTGGTGGTCTGTGGTTTTTCCGGCTGACCCTCTTCATTAAGGGAAGGAGTTTTGGGATTGTCGTCCAACTCCAACTCATCATCCGGGTTAGCTTCATCTTTTCTTCCTTCATCCTGAAAATTTGAGACACATAACGTCAGTAACTCAATAAATTCATTCAAATTCGTAATTTTTTTAAAAATTTCAGATACTTACACATACATGTGGTGTAAATGATGTTTGTGGGTGTGTGTATATCGATGAACATGCTCTCTCTCTGGTTCCACCGTGGGAAGGTGGAAGATTAGTGATCTTGGCGGTTTCCGGCAATCCGATCTTCTTTCCAAACAAGATGATACCTGGATCATTCATGGCGATGGCGGTGGCGGTGGTGAAGAAAAGTAGTATCTTGTGGGCTTAAAAATCTAAGTTAGAAGAAGTGGTGTAATAAGTTATGAAAAATATAAGGGAGGAAAAGCTGGATGCCACATAAGCAGTGGAGAAAAATTGTGAGCCACAAGTTTGTTGTGGCCTTGATAGGTTGGCAGTGGCAGGGTGGATTCTGTTTGGTTGCATATGAAAGTTGGTGCACCCCAAGAGTAGGATAGGAAATAGGATGGCTGAGAAAAGGTCTGGCACAACACAAAGTCGTTGCCTCTTCCACGGATAATATCGTACTTTTCGGTTACATCATCTCTCTCTATTCCTTTTTCTTTTAAATATCCCATCATTATTTTATTCTTGCTTCTTTAAAAGTTAATACTCTCTCTCTCTCTCTCTCTCTCTCTATTTATACTATATTATAAAGCATTTAACAAAAATTCTTAAAAACTATTTTTTGTACGTAAAGTATTGCTTAATAATGCATATTACTTGAAACTCAAGATTGCAAGTAATTTATACTATATTATAAAACATTTAACAAAAACTCTTAAAAACCACTTTTTATGCGTAAAGTATTACTTAATAATGCATGTTACTTTGAACTCAAGATTGTAAGTAAATTGTACGTAAGTACAACTTATTAAAGCTTCATATTTGAATTCGTGTAACTAACTACAGATAAACATAATCAAATACAGAATAAACATCTCATTTTAAATATAAAATATAATTAGGATAATTATTAAGTTCTAACAGAATACTTAATTATTATATTTATAAATTTTATATTATTAAACCAAAAATAAATTATTTCATTATTAAATTT